AGAACTGATAAACAAATTGAATAAGGTTGCAAGATACAAAATCAACATATAAAAATCAGTTGCAGGGAGAAGAAAATTGGTGGAATAAAGGTAACCTCCTGGATTCCTGCTCCCAGAGAAAGAGGTATACATCTTGGTCTGCTACACATGAGTGGATTGCTTCCCCACAAGAACAGTGCTGTGAATTGGCAGAGAATCAGTGTGGAACACACAAAATAGGAAGAACAAAGGGTGAATTGGGACATAGGATCGTGAACTCTGGAGAGTGTGAAACAAACAGAGAATAGAGCAAGGGACGGCTGCGCCCGCCGGGCCAGCAAGTAAAGTCGGATCAGACCCATAGGAGATCTTCTTGCTTCCCCACTGACCTTCACACCCACTCAAACAGGGACCTGCCTCTCAAGTCGGTGCAAAATCACAGCAGCAGACGTGGGGTTCTGTGGGGAGGAGATAATAGCGGGAAGCATCTTGAACTCCCCAGATCTCTGTGTCAGTACTGCACTAGGCAGGGAAGGAACCCAGTCTGAGCTACTGCTGGAAGTAATTGGGAGACAGGTAACTTGCCTCTGGCACCCAGCAGGTCCAGACCAATGGAGGTGATCACTAAGTAGGGCACTCTAACTTGGAAACTGCTACAGGCGAGTAGGCCCACTCTGCTGGACAGGCGTGAGATTGTGGAAGGGTGACATAAAAGAGAAAACAGGGCATCCTGATGACCCAGCTCCTCAATCTGGCACCTGCCATCTCCTGAACACTCACCCCCAGCACTAACACTCTGCAGGAGGGCAGTCACCATTGTTGGGATCCATAGCCCAGCTGCTGCAGTGTGATAAGGTGTGTCGGTCAGCTCCGTTTCCCTAGCCCAGAGACTCTTAGGACAAGCTCTGCCCTTACACAGCCTACAATCAACTAGCCAGGCCTGTCTTGATGGATGAATTCTGAAAACTTCCCTAGTCATAACAAGGCTAATGCCTGCAGGACTTACAGGTGCTAGGGTGCTGGGCAGACTGGGGACCACTCCTTCCTCCTAGCCATCATCTTTCACCCCAAAAGTAGTATTCTCCATCCCTGGAGGTAGGGTGATGCAAAAAAAGCCACTTTCCCTCTACAACTAGTGTAAATCTGCAGGGCCTTGGCACAGATCAATCAATAGCTCACAGCCCAGTGACTTTGCTATTCAGACTGGTTTAGGTCACCCAGTAGGAAGGAACATAACTCTAGGGATGGATCTCTGCCTCTGGCCACCTGCCAACAGTGAGATCTGTGGTGAGGGAACAAAAATCCCTGCAAGAGACCGTAATAGGCTCCCCAAGTAACCCCTGCCATCAGGAGTAGCCTCTCAACAGAGATAGAAGAACCCTGAACAATATAATAGTGGCTCCCCCTAGTGGCAGATCAAGCAATCATAGAAGTGCACACATCCAGGATGGTAGGCAGCAGCTTCTATCTGCCTTGCTTCTATAGCATCTACAGGAACACAGGCTACACAGGGACTGTTACTTCCCAAACGAAAACTGAAAGGTGGGAATCACTGGCTAATCCAGACGGGAAGGGCTCAGTGAAAGAACTCTGGAAGTATGAAGAATCAAATGGAAAATACATTCCCAAAGAGGAACACCAGCTATCAAGCAATGGACATTAACCAAATTCAGAACACTAAAATGACAGAAGAATTTCAAACATGGATTGCAAGAAAACTCAATGATATGCAAGAAAAAATGGATAACCAACACAAAGAAACCACACAAAAAAAAATCCAAGACTTGGAAAAAATTCACTAAAGAAATTGAAATAATAAGAAAAAATCAAACCAAACACCTGGAAATAAAGAATCTATTTAGGGAAGTATGAAACACAGTGGAAAGCCTCAAAAACAGGGTATATCAAACAGAAGAAAGAATCTCAGAGATTAAAATAACACCCTCCCATTAAATAAGTCAGTCACAGAGATAGAGCAGAGAAATAATAGAAAAGAGCAAAGCTTACAAGACATGTGGGATTCTGTGAAGAAACCTAACATGAGGGTTTTAGGGATTCACTAAGGGGAAGAAAAAAGATGCAAGGGTTGGATAAGCTATTTGAAGATATAATAGAGTAAAATTTTCCAGGTCTTGCTAAAAATCTAGATGTCTAAGTACAAGAAACTGAAAATACCCACAGGAGATTCGATGCTAACAGGAAGACAACACAACATGCGGTCATCAGACTGACCAAAATATCAACTAAAGAGGCCCTTCTAGGAGCTGAAAGGTGAAAGAAGCAAGTAACATACAAAGCAAAGCCAATCCGAATAATATGAGACTTCTCCAAGGAAACCTTACAAGCAAGGAGAGACTGGGGCCCCATTATCACTCTTCTGAAACAGAATAATGCCCACCCTAGAATCTTGAACCCTTCAAAACTAATTTTTGTATATGAAGTAGAAATAAAAACATTCTAAGATAAGCAAAGACTAAGGGTATTCACCAGGACAGGAACAGCCCTCCAATAAGTACTCAAAACAGTGTTACACGTGAATCAGCATAATAAACACTCATGAATGTAAAACCACTCAAAAGATAAAGATTAAAGGCCAGATACCACAATGGCTCAAGAGAACAAGCAAAGCAACAAGGTTCAACCCAAAAAGATGAACAGAAATTTGCTCCAACTATCAGTTCACTCAATATATGTGAATGTCATAAACCCCCCGCTCAACAGACATAGGCTGGTCAAATGGACAAAAAAATATAATCAGAGTATCTACTGCCTTCAGGAAACAAACCTAACCTGCAAGGATGCACATAGACTAAAAGGAAAGGGGTGGAGATTAGTCTTTCAAGCAAAACGAAGCCAAAAGAAGGCTGGCGTGTCAGATTTGATTTCAGATACCTTAGCTTTTAAACCAACAAAAGTAATGAAAGATAAAGAGAATCTTATGTAATGGTGAAGTATACAGTTCAACAAAAAGACCTATTTTAAATAGGTATGCACCCAACAAAGGTGCACCCAGATTCATAAAGGAAACTCTCTCCTTGATCTAAACAAATTGATAAACAGGAACTACATAATAGCTGGAGATATCAACACTGCGCTGACAGCACAGGACACATCTTCCAAAGAGAAAATTAATAAAGAAATAACAGACTGAGGAGAAGATGGCGGATGAGAAACACCGCCAGACAGAGTGTCTCTGCAGAAAAGACAGATTCTAGCAGAAATTACAAGAAAGAAGCAAGAAGACGAGCCTACATCAGATGAGGGTCGGAAGTAGGAGTACCTGGGACGAAAGAGGACTCCACAGGAGGAGGTCACGGAGGAGAACTGGAAGCTGAGACCCCCGGAGCAGCCCGGAGACCAGCAGGAAGTGTAGGTGGATAGGCCGTTTCCCCTCTTCTGCATCCCGGACTGCTGGTGGGCTCCCCAGCCAGTGGAGAGACCTGCGGACACCAGCCCAGCGACAGCCACTGACAGTGAGCAGTAAGCCTGTAGTAGACATGGCACCAGGCTCCCAACTCCCTCGGGGCACATCCATGTGCACAGACACAGCCGCGCGGCAGACACCATATTGCCTCCTCCTCCCCTCCCCCGACCCTACCGGTGGCTGCCCAGAGAGACAGAGAGACAATATAGCCGGAGGCACCTACAAGGAATGGGACCTTCCCTTTTGGGGCCCTACAGCTGACTAAGGGGAACTCAGACTGTGAGCTCCCTACCTGCCAGCCCTCCCAGGTGCTGCTGGCATGGTGATCCCAGGAGAATGGAGCAGACCCTGAGGTTGAGAGACATAGACCCAGCGTGGGCTCCCTGTTGGTAAATTGGGACTGGCACTGCTCTCCCTTGTGAGGATATAGTTTGAACTTTGGAACCCAGAGGTCAGACCTGCAGACCACATCCTGTACACCGAGGCCTTGCATTGCCTGGGGCACAGAAGGGATATTTGTGAACAGCCTACTGAGGTGTGTGTGCCTTCAGGGGCAGATCAGCATCCTAGAGGGCAACCCTCCCCCCAAAGGGAGGCCGTGTGCCCAACCCAGGTGGTGTTCCTGCGCAGGGAACCTCCCCGCTGGCAGCATAGCCAGGGGAGGCCTGGTGCCGTGTGGGCTGGCCTGTTGGCAGAGGCCCAGGAGTAGCTGCAGAGCTGGGGATGGTGGAAAGAAGCCAGGTCTGCTCCAGACTGCGAGTATCAGACAGCCCCACCCCCACACGCAGACTCTCTAACTGAGCCGGGCCATTCCAGCCCCAACCTGTCAGCTTTGCCTAGAAGCAGAGAACAAAACTTTGACCCCTGCTAACGACACTGGAGGTGCCTGAGGGCAGCCTTACCCAACCCAGCTCCGCCCAGACTCTCTCCTAAACTAGCCCTCACTGAAGGGGAGAAAAGGACACACCTGGAAGTCCCAGGGCCCCACCCACTACCTGAGGCACTAGAGTTCTCTCTACAGGAACAAGAGTTGATAACAGGACATAAAAACAACAGCATAGCCTATTCCTCCAAGCAAGCGCCACCTACTGACAGGGAGAGCATCCTGCACACCCTTTTCACGACACCTACTGACTCATTATACAGGGAGTGGTCAAATCTCACACACAGACACCACCTACGGGCTAAGAAACTAAACAAGGCTTGTGAATACCCAAACAAAAACCTAAAGAAAAGAAACAACAACTGATCGACATGGGAAAAAATCAATGAAGGAACTCAGGAAATATGAGGAACCAAACGGAAAGCACACCCCCAAAGAGGAGCCCCAGCCCCTTAGAAACGGGCACCAAAGAAAATCAGGCAACCAAAATGACAGAAGAGGAATTTCTTATGTGGATCATAAGAACACTCACCGACCTGGAAGAACAACTCAATGACCAATACAAAGAAACCACAAAAAGCCTCCAGGATCTGTAAAAAAAGTTCACTAAAGAAATACACATAATGGACCGTCCTCCCACACGCCAGCGCCAGAAGCCTGGGCTGCGGCTGCGCCAGGAGAGCGCCGCTCTCAGCACTAGGCCCAAGCGCGGCCATGAACGGGACCGTGAACCCGCTACTGGACCTCGAGGAACATTGTCTGCGGCTCGGGGAGAGCTTCGAGAAGCGGCCGTGGGCCTCCTCCACACCATTCGCTATGATTTTAAGCCAGCATCTATAGACACTTCCTGTGAAGGAGAGCTTCAGGTTGGCAAAGGATATGAAGTCACAATTACACTGCCACATATCCCTAGCTGAGGGGAGCAGTAAAATCCAGGCCTGAATGGAACAGCAGCCTACTCGAACCGAACCCCACAGCCATCACAGCCACCACCACCTCCACCACCTATGCCATTCAGAGCTCCAATGAAGCCTCCAGTGGGACCCAAAACGTCTCCCGTAAAAGATAACCCCTCACCTGAACCTCAGTTGGATGATATCAAAAGAGAACTGAGAGCCGAAGTCGACGTTATTGAACAGATGAGCAGCAGCAGTGGGAGCAGCTCCTCAGACTCTGAGAGCTCCTCGGGAAGTGATGACGATAGCTCCAGCAGTGGAGGCGAGGACAATGGCCCAGCCTCTCCTCCACAGCCTTCACACCAGCAGCCCTACAACAGCAGGCCTGCCATTGCCAATGGAACCAGCCGGCCACAAGGAAGCAACCAGCTCATGAACACCCTCAGAAATGACTTGCAGTTGAGTGAGTCTGGCAGTGACAGTGATGACTAGCACTGGATCTTTCAAAATCGACTTTTTGGTGCACAAACATGCTACAAGACCGGGCTACTTTAGCATGGAGTCCATTGCCAAGAGGAAAATGTTATGAATCAGTGACTGTAGTAGGAGTTTGGGGCTCTGGAGCTCTCAGATATTCAAACCTTTAACTTAGTGGTGATGGGTGATTTTCTCATGTAATTTTTGAACAATCTCATGTTTCAAAGTAGATCTATAGAAGAACTAACAGAATTACATTTCTATTTAGTTAACATTGTTAATGAGAAATAGACAAATGTGCCCTGGTCTAGGTTACTCAAAGGCTATGTCTTCACCAGGCCAGTCAGTTTGGCTAAGTGGTTTGCACCAGTGAAATGAAACAGTCTTTGAGGGGATAGGAGAGAAGGGTAAACCTCAAACTACATCACCAAAATATGTTAAAACCACTTTAAATTGTTGACACAAAGTGGTAAGGAAGTTATCTGACCCAGCCTAACAAGCCTGGGTAGAAATGGATTTCAAGACTGAGTGCTTGTGTGTCAGCTGGTTAGGAACTAGGAGACCTGGCTAGCTCAACCCCCCATTTACAGACTAGGAAAAGGAAGCACACAGCCAGCTATGGCAGTCTCCTGTGTACTGCCTGCCCTTTCCCGGGCTTTTCTCTCTCTTGAATCTCTTTTGTTGGAATCAGAGATTTCTTATACATGGAACTTTTAGATGTACATTGAAGCTTCGATTTGATTCCAAAAGACAAAAGTGTTGGGTACTTCTAGCTTGAATTCAGATCCACACAGTCCCTAAACACTTGAGGCTGGATGAGCAGCAGATTAAATCAGCAGCTTCTATGCTGATGCATGTGACTGAATTAAATTGGGACTTTTGGTTCCATGTGGATCCATAATTAGTATTCTTCATTGAGTGGATTTTAGCAGGGGGAGATATGAGTAGAAGAGAGGTGTAGTGAAGAACCTCTCTGAACAAATGAACCAGCAGTAAGTTTCCAAAAACCAGAATCTAGGTAGGAGTTCTGCAGTGTGAAATGACACATTCTTTGATAGGGGATTTCTGTTCATGCTATTGTACCACTGTTTGTGCCTGACTCCCAGACTGATTTGTATTTTTTATATACAACTAGAAGAAAGTCACAAGATTGCCTTCTGCAGTGTGCAGTTTCCAAATGAATTTGTTGTTGCAGGAAACTGGTCACTAGTAAATGTTCCATATTGAATGAATGTGTGATAAATTGTCCTGTAATTAGTATAGAGTAGCCCATTTCTGTAGTTTGAACATGTTCTGAGAAATTTCCATCAAGACAGTAATAATAATTTTTCCTCTTTGAGTGCCCCCACTCAGATGGCCTCCCCCACCCCAGCTAGTGGAGGGAAGTAGTCCAGACCTAGAAAGGTAAGAGTCTGTGGTGGGAGATTTTATTTGAGTTGTACCTTGTAGAGTTGACTATTTTCATCCGCATAGTGACCGCAGTGAGCTGGAGATGGGGACAGAGCCAGTGCCCAGCAGCATGCTCACACCACTCCACCCAAGTTTAGGTCATAGCTGTGCACTAGTACTGTGCTGGGTTCTCAGCTGGTGTGAAGTTGTGATGTTTCATTGGATTTAGTGGCAGGTAGGAACTTATTTATAGTGGATTGATAATGACAGCTCAGGGAAGGTGAAGGTCATGATTGGGAGACTTGAATTGTTACTGGATGTGGGAATTGTTTCACTACTCTTAACTTGCTCAAACTGGGGCAGGTTTTAGGAACTTGAACTAAAAATATCTATTTAAGCCTCTCTTTTTCTTTCCCTTTTTTTTTTTTTGAAAGCCTTGATTTACTTATATAGACAGAACTGTGGTTTTTGGTATGTTGGGCCAAGATGTTTCTTTCTATAGGAAATACTTACATGTGGCACTGGGCTCAGTGAGTTAAGCTTTCTGAGCTTCAGACCCTTTCCTCCCTGTCGTCTGTCCTACCCAACACCGGATGGTTATTCTATAGCACAGGTCCAGTTTTGTTCTCTGCACAAAACCTTTGGTGGTTCCGGTCCCCTACCCTCTATTTGTACCCACCAGAGTAAGAAATTTTTTTCTTTTTGGAAATCAAGAATTTGGCCTCACAGATGACTTCTCTTAATACCCTCGTGCCAGCCAAACTAGACTTAGTTCTTCCTGCCTCTGTGCCTTCTCTCAGCCTCTCCTCCTCCCCTCCACCTCCAAACCCCACTCCTGAGGCTCTGTAGGGCCATCTTTGTGGACCCTTTTTATGTTTAAACCACATGGAGTGTCCTGTGTGTACATACTGACCTTTCTATTGCCTGAATTTGAGTTGTTATGGGCTCCTCAAAAGCAGAGTCTATCACTCTTATCTCTATTTCTTGGTGTGTCCACAGGAATAGACATTCAGATGCTTATAGCCTGGTCGGGGAGGAGGCAGAGAAAACTAACCAGTGAAGTACAGGGGATAGACATAGAGAAAACATTCCAGGCATTTGGAGATAGGTGAAAATATTCATGTTGATTTTCATGATTTAAAAGTCTTTAGCTGAATTGTTAAAATTGCCTTTTCTTTGCTCTATACAATGTCTACTATACTGTGGGTCATTTAGGCAAGATGAAAAGGCCAAATTCTAAAGTGTCTGAAGTGCCATGGCAAGCCTTAGTAAAGATGTGATTTGGGGGAACTTAATACAAATAAACTAGAGATTTGTAATAATGCCAAAAAAAAAAAATACACATAATGAAGAAAAGTTTAACCGAACTCCTGGAAATGAAGAATGAATTCAGGGAACTACAAAATACAGTGGAAGTCCAAAGAACAGGGCAGATCAAACAGAAGAAAGAATCTCAGAGCTTGAAGATAACACCCTCCAATTGGATAAATCAGTCACAGAAATAGAGCAGAGAAACAAGAGAAAAGAGCAAAGCCTACAAGAGATGAGGGATTATGTGAAGAAACCTAATGTGAAGGTCATAGGTTTACCAGAAGGGGAAAAAGACAACACTCAGGGTTGGACAAACTATTTGAAAATATAATAGAGGAAAATTTCCCAGGCCTTGCTCAAAATCTCGATATACAAGTTCAAGAAGCTAGGAGGACTCCTGGGAGATTCACTGAAAACAGGATGATTCAAGACATGCAGTCATCAGACTGACCAAAATATCAACTAGAGAGGCCCTTCTAAGACATGTAAGACGAAAGAAGCAAGTCACATACAAGGGAAAGACAATTCGAATAACACCAGACTTCTCTAATGAGACTTTACAAGCAAGGAGAGACTGGGGCCCCATTCTCACTCTATTAAAGAAAACAATGCCCCGCCTAGAGACTTATTCTCTGCAAAACTAAATTTTGTATATGAAAGAGAAATAAAGACATTCTCAGAAAAGCAAAGTCTCAGAGAATTCACCAAGACAAGACCAGCCCTACAAGAAGTACTCAAAACAGCGTTATGCACGAAACACAATAATAACAACCCATAACTATAAAAACAACCAAAACCCAAATATTAAAGGCCAGATATTACAACGGCTCAAGACAGAAACCATAGCAACAACATCCAACCCAACAGAATGAACAGCAATCTACCTTACCTATCAGTTCTCTCAATAAATGTGAATGGCTTAAATGACTCTCCACTCAAGAGACATAGGTTGGCTAAATGGATACGAAAATACAGGCCAAGTATATGCTGTCTTCAGGAAACACATCTAAACTGAAAGGGTGCATATAGACTAAAAGACAAAGGGTAGAGATCAGTATTCCAACCAAATGGAAGCCAAAAGAAGGCTGGTGTGGCAGTTCTAATTTCAGACGATTTAGTTTTTAAACCAACAAAAGTAGTGAAAGACAAAGAGGGTCATTATATAATGGGTGAATGCAACAGTTCAACAAGAAGGAGATAACAACTGTTAAATATATCACCTAACTTAGGTGCTACCCAGTTCATAAAGCAAACTTTCTGGAGCTAAGACAATCGGATTAATAGCAAACCCATAATCACTGGAGATTTTCCAAACAACCCCAAACTGATGGCACAGAAGACTTCTCAAAAAGAAAATTAATAGAAATAAGACTAAACAAACTCTAAAACAACTGGGTATGGACTGACATTACAGGACACTCTACCCAAAATCCAACTGAATAGCGTTCTTCTCATCAACACACGGGGACATCTCTAAGATGACGACTACCCTAGACACAAGTTAACCTAAGAAATTTAAAAATAGAAATCTAACCGTGTATCTGCTCAGATCACAGTGGAATAAAAGTAAAATCACCCTAACTGAAATCACATTTCACACAAAAATATGGAAATTAAAAACCTCCTGTGAAGAATCCGATGATTATAGGATTGCATTGAAATGTGTAGATAGTTGGGTAGTATAGACATTTGATGATATTGAGTCTGCGATCCACTAGCATGGTATGGATTCCATCGTTACATCCTCTGGCTATTTCCTTCCTCAGGTTTTATAGTTCTCCCTGTAGAGGTCTTTACGTCCTTGGTAAGTAATTCCTAGGTACTTTAATTCTTTGTGCTTGTGAAGGAATTGAGTCTTGATTTGGTTCAAGTTAGATTGTTGTTGGCATATATGAATGCTCTGATTTTTTGTGTATTGATTGTATCCTGAGACTTTACTAAATTCATTCATCAGTTCAGAGTTTTTGGTTAATCCTTGGGTTTTCTAGATACAATATCAATCATCAGCAAACAGTGAAGTTGTATCTTCTGCCTATTGGATACCTTGACCATTTTTTCCTTTCTGATGCTGTAGCCAAACTTCCACCTTATTGAACAGAAGTGAGGATAGTGGGCAGCCTTGTCTGGTCCAGTTTAAGTGGGAATGATTCAATTTTTCCCATCAGTATGATGTTGGCATGGGTCTGTCATATCAGGCCTGTTATTTTTTAGGTAGTCCTTCTATGCTATTTTCGTAAGTGTCGTATCATGAAAGGTTGAATTTGTCAAAAGCTTTTCTGCATCTATTGAAAGATCATGTGTCTTGTTTTGGTTCTGTTTATGGTGAATTGCATTTATACATTTACGTATGTTGAACCATCCTGCATCCCTGGATGAAGCCCACTTTCGGGTGGATTATTTTTTGATAAGTGTCTGGATTCAGTTAGCTAAGATTGTTGAAATTTTTGCATTATATTCATTAGGGATATGTCTGTAGTTTTCTTTTTTTTGTTTGCATCCTTTCATGGTTTTGTATCAGAGTAATATTCGCTTCATAAAAGGTGTCGGGGAGGTTTCCGTCTTCTCTTTGATGTTGTGCGAATAGAAAAACAATTTTGCTTCGTATGGCAACAAAGAAGACCCGAATATCAAGAGCAATCTACGAACAAAAACAAAATGGGAGGCCATTAATATGCCAGAATATCAAACATACTACAAAGCTGTAGTAATTAAAACAATATGGTATTGGGCACAAAAACAGGAATATTGGACCAGTGGAACAGATGTGAGAATCCTGATATAAAACCATCCCTCATATAGCCATCTAATCTTTGACAAAGCAGACAAAAACATACGCTGGGGAAAAGAATCCCTCTTCAATAAATGGGCTGCTGGAAACTGTATAGCCACCTGTAGAAGGCTAAAACACGACCCACACCTTTCACCTCTCACAAAAACCAACTCACGCTGGATAACAGACTTAAACCTAAGTATGAAACTATTAGAATCTAGAGGAAAAATTTGGAAACACTCTCCTAGACATTGGTCTGGCAAAGAGTTTATGAAGAAGTCCCCAAAGGCAATCACAACAGCAACAAAATAAATAAATGGACATGATCAAACTACAAAGCTTCTGCACAGTCCAAAGAAATAGTCATGAAAGTAAACAGACAACCTACAGAATGGAAAATTTGCATCCTATACATCCGATAAGGGACTGATAACTAGAATATACTTAGAACTCAAAAAATAGAAAGAAAAATCAAATAACCCATTAAAAAGTGGGCAAAGACTGAACAGAAATTTTCTAAAGAACAGAAGAATTGCCACAAAACATATGAGGAAACTCAACATCTCTAATCATCAGGGAAAGCAATCAAAACCACAATGAGATATCACTTAACCCAGTGAGAATGCCTTTATACAAAAAATCCAAACAATAAATGCTG